TGCAGCGCCTGTCGGAACGCCATGCCGCCAGCGCGCCTGATCTACGGAGCGCCGTGAGGGTCGAGCTTCCACGGTCTCCCACGCCCGGCTGACGGAAGTCTCGCTCTGCCCATGGCTACGCGAGAGCTGCTGAGAGTTCTTATAGTCTTCCGGGCGTCTGCAACTCTAGTTGAGCTGGGCCAGTTCGAGCTGAACGCTGTTGCAGGGATCGTAATGCAGGGATGGGCGTTGGAGGTGCGGGACGGGACAAGGCGGACTCCAGGGCTCTCCGGGCTTGTTTTTTTTTTTTTTTTTTTTTTTTTTTTGGTCGGGGGGATTAGGACCTTGCGCTTGCTAGGCAGGCAGCGGCACCACTAAGCTAAATCCCCGGCCCTGGGCCTGTTTTAAATGCGGGCGCTGGCTGAGGAACACCGAGACCTCACGGCTGGACTGTCCAGCCATCGGTATTCCAGACGCTACAGGAGCCAAGAACCAAACCCTTTCTCCTTCGTCTCAACAGACTGCTTATTGTGGTGTCTTCAGCATCCATCTCATCGCAATCAAAAGATCTGAGCGAGGGCCGGGGATTTAGCTCAGCGGTTCGGTGGCCTGCTTTGCAAGCGAAAAGGACCCGAGTTCAATCTCCGGTACCAAAAAAAAAAAAAAAAGATCTAAGCGACACAGCAGGCGGAGTGTACCATTCAACGCTTTTAGGTCTTTACGCCCCAAGTTAAGCCCCTGGCCTTCCCGCTGAGCTATGTCCCAGCCTTTTTGAGACAAGGTCTCACTAAGTCGCCTAGTTGCCCAGTGTGGATCCAAACTGACCATCCTCCTGCTTCAGCTTCCCAGAGTGCTGGGATGACGGGTCTACATCACCATGCCTGACTTTTTAGAACTTTTTATGGATTCATATTGTCCAAGGGCCGGAAATTTAGCTCAATGGTGCTGCCACCTGCCTTGCACGTGCAAGGTTCACAGTTCATCCCCAGTACAAAAAAAAAAAAAAAGGATTCATATTGTCCAAATATAATTAGAATATTGGTCAAGACACCTAGACTCAAGTCTAAGAAAAAGTGCTTCCTTGTAAAACAATGTCCAGCTCATTGAACCGCTTAAAGGCATCCATTTTACATCACTTGGTGTCCAAGTGGGAGACTGGCAGCAGCCAGGAAATTATGGGAAACGAGCTGAGTGAGTGGTGTGTGATCTGTGCTAAACCAGAAGTAGGGCAATAAGAATTTACATTACTTAAAAACAAAGCTAGGGTCGGGATGTAGTTCAGTGGTGCCTCACCTGTCTGGCAAGCACAAGGTCTTGAGTTTGATCCCTGTTACCAAAAAACAGACAAAAGGCTGGGAACTCTCCATCTTGTTTAACCCTGAAGTCTCAGAGGCTGGGGAACTCAGCCTGCTGCATCTGAATCCAGACTCCCTCTTAGTAACAAAGGGGTCTTGCCTTAGTTTCACCAAACGTGACTTTTGCAGAATTAAGTAATGCTGTCATGTGACATTCTCCAAAGAGTTCTGGTACAGAAATCCAAAGGGAGATGTTAGATCCACAACTGATCTCTAGAACTGAAAAATGGACTGTTGATTTTTTTTGGGGGGGGTACTGGGGATCAAACTTGGGTCCTTGCATTTGCGAGGTAGGCAGCAGCACCACTGAGCCAAATCTACCCAGCCCTGGACTGTTGGTTTGTTTAAAAATGAAGTCTCATTGCTACCTTGCATGGCTGGGCTCAAATTTTTGGGTTCAAGTAATTCTGCCTCAGCTGCCTGAGGTGGCTAACCAGCATGCACCACTGCGCCCAGCTGATCTCTGGAGTTGAATCTACAGACTTCTGGGACTCAGAGCCTTCATTCTCCATCATTGCCAGGTGGATGGGGCTCACTGGAAAGAGGCAAGCTGAAGTTACGGCTGGGATCATTGTGTTATATATCAACTGCACCAGCATCTGTTACTCTGGTGAATGCCTCAACTTCCACTGGGAACTACCCCATGCCAACGTACACTAAACCTAAACAGCAGGTCTTTGAGGGAAAGCAGATGTTTATACACCCTTGTTCACAGGTGCAAAGATCACAAATGTCCTCTGTAGTGAAATGGGCATTACTGAATATGGTGTTTACAGCAGTTGAGACCAGGAAATACAGGGACAGTAAGTCATTTAAGGGCAAAGGCCTGAGTAAACTGAGATAAGCCCAACAAATTGGAGTATAAGGAAAGTTGGCCCTCCTGACATCAGAGGTTGGCAGCTACATTATTTCATTTTTTTGCTCCCACTAAAAGTGTCAGCAGTCTACATGTAAATCCCTGGACATGGACACTTTGGCATCATCTGTTCTTGGAGTTCCTCCTGGCTAGCAGGCACCTTCTGTGTTCTCTTTCTAAAATAAAGTGCACACAGTTCATTCTCCACTGCTGTGTCTGTGGATTTCATTCTTTATTGACTTAAGGATAAGAGCCCAGAGGGAAGATAAAATTGGTAACATAATATTCAGCCTTAAAAAGGAAGGGCATTTTAGGGTTTGAGCCCGAGCCCCACAAAAAGAAAAAAAAATTCTGACATGCAACAACATGGATGAATCTTAACAATCATAAAATACCAGACTAACTGGGTGTGGTGGCGCATGCCTGTAATCCCAGCACTCCGGAGGCTGAGGTAGGAGGATCACTGTGAGTTTGAGACCAGCCTGGGCTACATAGTGAATTCCAGGTCAGTCTCAAGTATGCAATGAGACCCTGTCTCAAAAAAAAAACCAAAAAACAAACAAAAAAAACAGACTGAGTAATTTATCAACAGTAGAGATTTATTTCTCACCACTCTGAAGGCTAGAAAGTGCAAGACTAATGTGCCACTGGTGAGGGCCCAATCTCTCTGCCCCTAAGATGGTATGCCTGCTTCTTAATCATTCAGATGGGATGGGGTGTGCTGTGTCCTTACTTGGCAGGGACAGAAGGACCAGCAGGTTGAACCCTCTGAAGCCTTTTATATGGGTATCAGTCCATTTATCAGTGACATAATTATGCCCCCAAAGACTTAAAACTCTTTTTTTTTTGGTGCTGGGGATTGAACTCAGGTCCTTGTGCTTTCAAGGCAGGTGGCAGAACCACTGAGCTAAATCCCCTGCCCCAGCTTTTTTTAAATTAACTTCTTTCAGTACTGGGGTTCAAACTCAGAGGCACATTAGCATTGAGCTACACTCCAGCCCTTTCTATTTTATTAGTGTTTATTACTATATCTGGTCCGTGTATTTAAACTCTGGCAGATACCATTCTTTTGTTTGTTTGTTTGGTCTTTTGAGACAGGGTCTTGCTATGTAGTTGAGACTGACCTGGAACTCACTATGTAGCCCAGGCTGGTCTCAACTCACAGCGATCCTCCTGCTTCAGCCTTCCAAGTGCTGGGATTACAGGCATGCACCACCATGCCCAGCTTGGCAGATACTATTCTAAGTGAAATAAGTCAATTAAAAATAAAAATACTGTGTTGATTCCACTCATACAAAATGCTTAGGCTCAATTTAAGGGAGATAGAAAGTGGGACTGAGTTGTTAGGGGCTGGGGAAAGGGAAAGGGAGCTGTTTAATGGGGACACTTTCGGTTTGAGATGAAGTCCTAGAATGGATGGTGGCAATGGCTGCACAGCATTGTGACTGTACTTATGTCAATTTATGTCACGTTATTTTACCACAATGAACAAAAAAAGAACACACCTGGTTACACGTTTCTCCCAAGCAATGGAAACTCCTAAGAAATCACATTCACCATGGAAGTAGCTATATTGAAGGTGGCTTAGTTATATTTGTGGTATGGGGGGGGGTCAAACTCAAGACCTTGTGCTTGTGGCGCAGGCATGGTGCCACTGAGCTAATTCCCCAACCCATGGCAGTTTATTGAGATTCTTCTTGGGTTCAAAGCAGCACCCAGCGCCATCTCTCAAGATTGAGACACTTGAGGCTTTTGTTTCTCCAGTCCTTATTTTGAGGCACTGTGAATCACATGATTTAATGTCAGGAGTCCCACCTGTGTTGGTCCCGGCTCCCTCTGGCGTGTGTTCCCCAGCCACATGCACTGTGCATCTGAGGTCCTTCTCAGGCCATTGTCACTTCCTCAGAGAGGCCAGGTAAGCATATCAGCCCTGGGTCCAAACAGCACTCGGAACTGCCAGGGGAGTCAGACGGAGGTGGCATCATCGAGAGGGATCGGCTTAGTTGGCCGTTTCCCTGCCTGTTTTTCTACTTACTGAGTTTTAGTTTGTACCCAGCTCAGTGCTAGACCTTGCAGAGGCAGGAGGACAAACTGTCTGCTATGATGCAGATGCTCAGACAGACAGCTGTCTCTCTCCCCCTTCACCAAACATTGTCACTGGTGCTATACCTTGGTACATGTGTCCTCCCTCTGCAGCCTGCTCCAATCACCTGGCACCTGCCTCCATGCACAGTCATCTGCTGGTGAGTGCTATCTGTCTGGCAGGTGGGTGCTAGGGACTGTGTGGCAGCTGTGAGAGCTGACTCCATCCTCATTTCCAGCCAACGTCTCTCTGTCTACACTGGACACCACTCATTGACCTGCCTGAATTCAGAGGCCTCATGCAAGCGCCAGTCTGTATGCCTGGAGGAGCCCCACCCCCTCGCCTCTTTGGGGTGCTCCAGGGTACCCCACATACCTATGCATCCAAAGGTAACCACATCTGCACCTAACATAGCCATGCTGCCCCAGCTTTCAGCCACTGTCTCTTCTGTTTCTCCCTACCTCTTCACAAATTTTCTATTTATTTGTTTATTTATTTGTTCATTCATTCATTCATTTATTGTTTTGATTTTTTGAGACAGGGTCTCACTATGTAGTTGAGACCGACCTGGAACTCACTGTGTAACCTCAGGCTGGTCTCAAACTCAGCAATCCTCCTGCCTCAGCCTCCTGAGTGCTGGGATTACAGGCATGTGCCACCATACCCGGCTCTATTTATTTTTTTAGAGCCAAGGTCTCACTATGAAGCCCAGACTGTTCTACAAGTCACAATCATCCTCAGCTACCACACATGGCTCCCTAACCTCCCCAGAGAACTTTCTAGATTTTTTATTTCTTTTAAACTCCCCCATCCTTCAATGAGAAGGAATCCAGCTCCTGAGGCTGCTCTTGGAAAAGTCACTGATTAGCTCACTGTGAATACTAGACACCTTTTTATTTTGCTTCAACTCCCTGCAGCTTCTGCTCTGGCTGGCTGGCTATTGTGTCCACACACCCCTGGTGCTCTCTGCTGCATATGTGTGTGTGTGTGTGTGTGTGTGTGTGTGTGTGTGTGTTTACCAGCCTGCCTCTGTCCCCACCCTTCCCAGCTTCTTCAGGATGTTCAATGCTGGATCTCCCTGCTCCTCCCTGCATGGCAGAGGTGAAGCCAGCCTGCTTGAGCTCTTCCCAGGCATGATATTCAATGGAGTGCAGAAGCAGGTTCCCACACAACTTGGGGCTACAGCCCTGACAGGCCTGCAGGCTGCCCTGGGCTGGAGACCTACACATTGTGAGGACCCTGCCATCCCCACACCTGCTCTCTCTGGACCTTGCAGAGGCTCCCAATGTCCAGCTCCCAGTGACATCTGATTGGGGACCCATGCTGGAGGAGCGGTCTCAGGTCACTCAGACTCAGCAGGGTCGTGACACCTGTACGTGCCACGCCCTGAGCTCACGAAACCTGGAGCCATCGAGGGTACTGGCAGGCTGGGTGTGATGACAGCAGCATCCCCAGAGCCCTGGGTCCTGCTCTCCTGTGTCCCCACCAGCCCAGTATCAGCCCAGTGCTGCCACTCTCTGTCCTTCATTGGGCAGTAGCCTCCAAAGACTAGATTCCCCCAAAAGGGATGTTCAAGTGCAGCTCAGTGAGCTCCTGAGCCCAGCAAGCCAGAATGTCCAGAATGACTTTGTTTTTTGTTTTTGGTACCGGGGATTGAACTCTCGGGACCTTGCGCTTGCCAGGCAGGCGTGGTGCCACTGAGCTAAACCCCAGACTTACTATTAAGCCACAGGCTTAATAGTTCAGGCTGCCGACTCTGAACTGAATCTGCTAAATGCATAGATGCCACTGGATAGGACCAGGAAGACCCTGTGTGGCTATTCAGCTGCAAACCCAGGACACAGGCACTCGGGGTGGTGACAGAGGGCTCAAGAGAAAGCATAGCTTGCTGGCAGACAGTGCACACAAGGCCACGAGAGGCCTCACCTGCAGGGGCACATAGTAGATGTTGATGAACTGCAGTGGGGTCCATATGTGCCAGTTCATCTGCAAAGCAGGCCAGAAGTAGCTCCTCACCTGGGTGGCAAAGACAGCAGTGTCCTTCCCCTGCAAGGGGCAGAGGTGGTGAGTGGCCACGCAGGCCACCCAACCTGACAGTGAGTGATAAAAACTCGTGTTTTGTTTTCTGAGACAGGATCTCACTATGCATTTAAAACTGGCTTCAATCTTGTAACAATCCTCCCGCCTCCATCTCCTGTGGGCTGAGATTACACAACTGGATGGAGGGTCAGATTTGAACAAATGAAGTTTTAGAATTTTATATGGAGAACAACACTGTCAATAATTTTGCTTATGTAACTTTATTTATTTGGTACTAGGGATTGAACTCGGGACCTTGTGTTTTTGAGGCAGATGGTAGATCCACTGAGCTAAATCCCCGGCCCTCCTCTTATATAACTTTAAATGTTAACTTTAGGCAAATATTCTAACTTTATATAAAATTTAAAATTTGGCGGGGCACGGTGACATACACCTGTAATCTCAGCACTCAGGTGGCTGTGGCAGGAGGATCACTGCAAGTTCAAGACCAGCCTGGGCTACACAGTGAGTTCAAGGCCAGCTTGAACTACACAGTGAGATCTTGTCTCAATAAATAAACAAATACCTCAAAATGTAAATATTTGCAATCTGTATTTGGTGAAAGATTGATATTAACACATCCAAATATTCAAATCAGTAAGAAAAAAGTGAACACTAATGCAAAATAAAGTTCAGGAAAGAAATAACAGCAGATAGACATTCACAGGAGCATTCAACCTTATAAATAAAGATATACAAGTAAATATAATTTTTCACCTATAGCAATGATAGTGAACCTTTTAGAGCTTTCAATGATACAAATAGCCCGCTGCAGCACACATGCCATTGGTTTACCCCCACTGAGCTTTAGGATTCCAGACTTTGAAAGACTTCTATAGTATTATGACAGCCTTTTGCTTTTGGTGCCATGGATTAACCCTGGCACCCTGGTGAACACTAGGGACACCTCAGCACCATATTTTATGAGTGTATAAGATAAAATATACAAGACTACTAAGCAACAGATTATACTAGAATATAGCTGTCAAAACAGGGCAGCAACTCCAGGATAGAGCAATACACAGGCTTATTATCAACACATTCAGTGTGGGGCCCTCAAAGCCAATCAGGGAATGACACATACCAGGATACCCGTGACTGCTGATACAGGCCACCAAAAAGTCTGTGATTCCCCTAGGGACAGGGTACTGCTGACACTGTGATGATCTGCTGTTTAAATTCACAAAGGAAGATGCATGAGTTCAAGCTGAGTGCACCCACCTCCAACGGGCTCATGGTGAGGAAGAATAGCAGCAGGAAGGCTGGGGCAAAGAGCAGGCGGTCCAGAAGCAATCTCTTCATGGTGGCCAAAGGAACCTCAGGAGGGACCCAGCGCTCCAGGAAGAGGTAGAAATAGTGGCTTTAGCAGACCTGTGATAAAGAACCTGAGGCCCACAGAGGTATGAGCAGGACTGGTTCTCTCCACTCCTCCCCCACCCCTCCCCCACCCCCAGGTCATGTCTAATCCCAATCCATCCTGGTCCTATAGTGCCCCCTGCAGGTGCTAAATGAGGGTGCATCTTAAAATTCAGAGGGAAGCTGGATGATGCCTCTGATGGTGTCTCCTCATATATCACTGTCTGGGGGCAACACTGCTTTAAACACTCTATGGAAAAATGACTCAAGTGAGCATGACTACAAATATAGAAAAAGGCTTTGTGAATTCTAAATTTAAAAAATTACTCTAGGGTGAGGGATGTAGCTCAGTAGCAGCGTGCACAAGGCCTGGGTTTAATCTCCAGCTATGGGCTCTGGGGGTGGGGAACAAAAAAAGCTGGGCATGGTGGCACATGCCTGTAATCCCAGCACTTGGGAAGCTGAGGCAGGAAGATCAAGAATTCAAGGCCAAGCTGGACTATATAAAAAGACCTTATCTGAAAAATGTCAAAACAGTCAACATAGGGCGCTAAGTGGCTTCCCCATCCCCCAGAGGCCCTGGCCTTCATCAGAGCAGACAAGTGGGGACTGCCCAGCCGCATGGGGTCCTCTGCAGCATTCCCCCCACCTCCCCCATGCTCTCGGCCTCCTGGTTTCGCAGCTACCTGGACCCACACTGCAGAGGCACAGGTGGTCATAAAGGCCATTGTACTGAGCTCCAGAAGATAGAACAGAAGTAAACTACAATAAAGGCACATCAGACCTCCATAGTTGGTAAGTTGGAAGGATCACTACCTTCCATCAGAACTTGGACTATCTTCAGGGGAAGGGCAGCTGGAACCTGCCATAGAACCTTGTAAATTGAACCCTGCAGGAGGTCAGGAAGCTTAACTTGGGCCTTGCAGTCAGAATTCAACTTGAATCTCAGTGGTCTACTGTTGGGTAGCTGAGACTATATGACTTAGTTCTACACAATGCTGCCCACATTGTCTATTGTGACAGCAGAGATACACCCTGAAAGAGGCCCTTCACATTTTTTTCTTTTCCTCTTATTTTTAATTTTAAAAAAAATTTCCCATTCTTCAAATCCTCCTTTTTTCTTTCTTCTTCTTCCTACTGTCTCTTGCTCTCCCACATTCATCTCCCTTTTTGTTCCTGTTCCTGCCCTAATTTGGATTTCTTCTTTCTTTTTCTTTTCTTCTTTTTCCTTTGCTCAATTGTCATTAGTTTCAAAGGAAAATGAGTACAATTTATAGTTTGCCTATTATTGTTAACTTCTTCTATTCTTGTCTTTTTTTTTGTTTTTTGTTTTTTGTTTTTTTTTTTGGTACCAGAGATAGAACTCGGGTCCTTGCGCTTGCAAGGCAGGCCACCGAACTGCTGAGCTAAATCCCCGGCCCTTCTATTCTTGTCTTTGTTCTTACACTCTGTCTTTCCCTCTTGTCTTTAAAAGTTTCCTAGAGTTTGCGAGATCATCCTGTGTCCCTGGCTTCACTTGAAAACTCCTATTCTTCTACCTATCTATTCCTCTCCTCCCAACTCCTTCTAAGTCCCCATCCTGAAGGGTAAAGTTGCTATATTGAAGAGTTTATTCAGTATAAACGTATTTTGGGCTGGTCCTCAATTTTGATTTAATTCACATGGTTAGAGGGGATAGATTAATAACTAACACAAATTGTCAATTTCTAAGCTATACTTGATGCTGATTGTATCAATTGGGCTAAAGGGTTGTGATTGATTTAATCAGTTGTTCTTCCTGATATTATGAAAATGAGAATGTCTCTGAGTCATCAGAGACTCAAAACCTAAAGAGCAGCTATATCAGGAAGATTGAAGTACTAACCCAGGAATTAAACCAAGGACAGCACCAACAACAAAAATAAAAATGAGAAAACAATTAAGGCACAAATACAGACTTCCAGTTCACCAATGGCAAATTCTAGGGGAAATGAGGTGGAAAAGTCTGACAATCAACCACCAGGACTCATAGCACAGGATGTAACAATCAGGCTCTAGAAAAATTCAAAAACAAATAATTTCCCAGATAACTACAGAGATGGTGAGCACAATGAAAGACATGATTAGAGACTCTAGAACAGAAGCAGACAAAAAAAAGCCATGAATGCCCAGCATAGGAAAGAAATGGAAACCATGAATGCCCAACATAGGACAGAAATAGAATTATCCATGTAACAGATTCAAACAGATATCAAGGAGATTAAAATCTCTATAGAAAGCATTCACAGAAGAATGAATGAATGTGAAGATAGAATTTCAGATATAGAAGATAGGATTGCAGTCAGTGACTATGAAAAGAGAGATTTCTTAAAACAGTAAGGGATCATGAGAAATCGATCCAACAACTCCTAGATGATGCAAAGAAGAATAATAGAAGACTGATAGGAATCCATGAAGGAGCAGAAGAAAGTATAAATGACTTAAAAAAACTGTTCACAGAATTAATGACAGAAAACTTCCCAAACAGAGGGGAAGAATTTGACATACAGATAAGTGAGGCATATAGGACTCAAACTAGCCATGATAAAAAAAAAATCTACACCTAGACATATAATAATCAAGATCCTTGGAACCCAACAGAAGAACAAAATACTGCAAGCAGTTAGAGAAAAGACACAAATCACATTCAAAGGAAAGCCCAACAGAATCACAGCAGACTTTTCAATACAAACCCTCAGGTCAAGGAGAGCCTGGAGTGAGGTATTTCAAGCCCTAAAAGAAAACAACCTCCAACCTAGACTGATGTATCCTGCAAAACTTTCTTTTAAAATTGATGGGGAAGTAAGATACTTCCATGACAAAGAACACCTGAGGAACTTTGTGAATACCAAACCAGCACTCCAAACAATTCTAAACAATATCCTAGAAAAAGACAATGAAGGTCACAACACCATGAGGCCCAACAGAGCAAATCAATTAAGCAAGGCAAGAAACTAAATGGGGGGGATTAAAAAGAGCCACCAACAGGATAATAACATGATGATGATAAATCAATACATATCAGGTATAACCATCAATGTTAATGGCCTTGATTCACCAATTAAGACAAATAGACTGGCAGAATGGATTAAGATGCAAAATCCAACAATATGTTGTATACAAGAAAAACACCTAGTTCAAAAATAAACTCAATAGACTGAAAGTAAAAGGATGGAAAACAGTTCTCCATGTGACAGGAGCCCAGAAAAAAGCAGGGTTAGCTCTTATTCACAGACAAAGTAAATTTCAAACTAATTAAGAGAAACAAAGAAGGCCACTACATCCTCGTAAAGGGAACAATCCAAGAGGGAGAGATGACAATCATAAATATATATGCACCAAATATTAATGCCCCAACTATATAAAACAAATATTAAGGTATATGAAAAAACAAATAAGCACTAATACAATTGTAGTGGGAGACCTAAATACCCCACTATCACAAAAAGACAGATGATCTAGACAAAAAATACACAACAAAATACTAGAACTGAACCAATCTTTTGAACAAATGGACTTAATAGATGTCTACAGAGCATTCCACCCCACAAAATCAGAATATACATTCTTTTCGGCTGCACATGGGTGATTCTCCAAGATAGACCACATACTAGCTCACAGAACAGGTTTGAATAAATGCAAAGGAATCAAAGTTATCCTCTATATATTATCAGATCATAGTGCAATCAAGCTGGAGATCAGTAGTATAAGAAACCATAGGAACTTCACAAACACATGGAAATTGAACAACACTCTCCTGAACAATCAATGGATCAAAGAGGAAATTAAAGAAGAAAGTCAGCTTTTATAAATAAATGATAATGCCCATATAACATTCATTGTTGTAGAACAATGAAAGCAGTTCTACATGAAAAATGCATAGCAGTGAATGCCCATACTAGGAAAACAGAATGAGCTCAAATAAACACCCTAATGATGAATCTTAAGCTCCTAGAAAAAGAAGAGCAAGAAAAACCTAAAGCTCATACAAGGGGGGAAATTATAAAGATAAGAGCAGAAATCAATGCAATGGAAACTAAGAGAATGATACAAAAAAAAAATCAATGAATCAAAGAGTTGGTTTTTCAAAAGAATAAATAAAATCAATTAAACCCTTTAGCCAACCTTGTCAAAAAGAAGGAAAGAAAAGGCTCAGATCCATGCACTTATGAATGAAAAAGGTGAAGTCACAACAGGTGCAGCAGAAATCCAGAGGATTATCAATACCTACTTTGAGAATCTGTACTGTAATAAAATGGAAAGTACCAAAGAAATGGACAGATTTCTAGATACTTACGAATTACCAAAGTTGAACAAAGAAGATAACAAAATTATAAACAACCCAATTACAATCAATGAAATTGAAAACGTAATTAAAAATTTACCAACAAAGAAAAGCCCAGGTCCTGATGGCTTCACTGTTGAATTCTACAAGACATTTAGAGAACTACTGCCACTACTCTTTAAACTTTTCAGTGAAATTGAAAGAGATAAAATACTTCCAAATTCATTCCTGAAAGCAAGTATTACTTTGATTCCAAAACCAGGGAAAGACCCAACCAAAAAAGAGAACTACAGGCCAACCTCCCTAATGAACATAGATGCAAAAATCCTCAATAAGATACTGGCAAACAATATAGAGGGTCATCAAGAAGATCATACACCCTGACCAAGTCAGATTTATTCCAGAATGCAAGGATGGTTCAACATATGTAAGTCAATAAATGTAATACACTATATTAACAGAGTCAAGGACAAAAACCATATGATCATCTCAAAAGATTCAGAAAAAGCATCCGACAAAATTCAACACCCATTCATAGGGCCCGGGATTTGGCTCAGTGGTTTCACTGCCTGCCTCACAAGCGCAAGGGCCCGAGTTTGAGCCCTGGTACCAAAATAAAATAATAATAATAATA